CTCCTCCGGGATCTCGTCGAGGGTCTGCTCATCGACCTGGTCCGTCTTGTAAACTCGCCGGGGAGCTCCTTTCGGAGGGTAGCCCTTGCCGTGGCCGGCGTGTGAAGAGCCCGAGGTAGAAGCCGAGTTGCCGGGAGCACCATTCGTCTTGCCTTTGCCGTCGCCTTTTCGAGGAAGTGGGTTGCCATCCCGGCCACATACAGGTGGCGCCGCCCGGAACTCCGGGTACTGCATGTGCATCGATTCTGCTATGTCCTCAAAGCTCAAGGAGTACCGGCTGCCAACAAGTATCAGCCGCTGGTCCTGAGGAGATAGCCTGGCCCGTTCCAGCAAGCGGTTGCCGCGGGCGTCGCTGTCATACATCTGGGTCACCTCCACATTCACTGCTCGGAGGTTTCGTTCCGATCGGCGGTAGCGATTGCTAAAGGCACGCAGCCCTTCGCCAGGCTGCCGCTGGATGTTCTCGTACTCGCTGAGGAACTTCCTCTTCTGGAAGACCACCTTCTGCTCCATCGGGGCCCGCAGGGTCTCCAATATGAAATCGATGCCCTTGTCGGTGTTAATCGACTCGATCGGGGCGTGCTCGAGCTCCGTCTCGGCCTCTCCGGTCAAACTGGTGTACAAGGAGAGCGCCGCTTCACGTGGGGTGAGGTAGCTCGACACTTGGATTCTCCAAAGGGAAACCTTCTTGCAGTACTTGGAGAATGCCCTTGGGTCCTGCGGATCGTACTTCCAAGCGGGCGGTGGCGGTGGTGCCCCGCCTCTCCATCTCACCCCCTTCTCTGGCCCCATTCTCGACCTCCAAGTCGTCTCGCTTGAGGCCGGCGGCGTCAATGCCGAAATCCCCAAGTCGCGGGTCCGGCCGGCCGTCGGTCTCCAAGGGTCCGGTGTCCTCTGAGGCAAAGTCGTTGTGGGCAAAGTCGAGGGTCGAGGCGGTGAGGTAGGTCCGGAAGTACTGGGAGGCGTCGCCGGGCAGGAAGTCGTCCGCCTTGGTCTGCTCGGCCTCGGTGGTGCGTCGTCGGTGTCCGGCTCCACAAGAGGGTCGAAGGTGAGGGTCTCCGACTCGGGAACCTCAGAAGCATCGCCCAGGCTCGACTCAGAAGGGTCGCCGCCCGGATGGTGTGCGGCACGTCGTCGTCGGCGCTCCCGCCTCGAGAGAAGAGCCGGGGCGCGGCCGGCAGGCACATCAGCTCGAGGGCCTTGCCGTCCTTGATTCATGGTTTGCCTTGGCATGAACATCCAGACGCCTTCGTCGGTCTCGTGTCTGTGAGGGCGCCGGCAGGAGTAAGCCTCGGTGCTCTCACAGGAGCAACAAAGCCAGGTGCCGTAGACGTTCTGCACCCACCTGTTGCCGTCACAACGAAGGCATCGCCACTCATTGTTTTCAGGTCCCTGGGTCTGGGGGCTCTGTCTCTCCACGGACTCAGCAGGAGATCCTGGGTCCTCGTGGGCAATGCCCGCCATCGCTTCAGAGTCCTCCTCCGGCTCGTCGCCGCGGTCGTCGTCCGAGGCCAACTTGAACATCTCGGGCACACGCGGCATCGCCGAAGTCCGGGAAAGAAGCAAAGCCGCCCGAAAAGCAGGCTCCGGTGCCAACTTACGAACTCAAGAGCACAGCGCAGCGGAAGTCACATGTTTTGCGCTCGCACAAAGGGATTCAGCTCAGTGGGCCCACTTCGGCCGAAAGTCAGCGGCACACAGCTTCAGACGCATAAGCCAATGCACAAGGCTAAGACATGCCTAAGTTTCACAGACGGTGTCAGCTTCTTTTGCACGGATGCGTCGAACAGAGCCCGACAGTCTAGAAATGCATAATGCGCAAAATTGGACTGCTGCAATACTGCAGTCGACTTTAGTTCAGTGGCAGGGATTCCTCAAGCCCCAAGCATCTGACGGATATGGGGTTGCCTGCTTGACTTCCAAGCACCCGAGCTCCAGCTCGAATTCATGTCTGCTGCTTCCTTTGGGTTCAGCCTGATGGCCTCGCCGTTGTGTTGGATGACCGCCTGGTTCCGGTCTAGCTTCCGTTTTGACAAGTTGCGGTTGTAACAGGCATCTGCATCCTGAGGGTCCAAACGGATGGCCTCATCGTAGTCCTTGATGGCTGCTTGGTACTGGCCAAGCTTTTGCTTCGACGCGCCGCGGTTGTTGAAGGCAACTGCTTTCTGTGGATCCAGCCGGATGGCCTCGTCAAAATCCTGGATAGCCGCATCGTATTGGCCAAGATCATCCTTAAAGTTGCCGCGGTTGTAACAGGCATCCGCATCCAGCGGGTCCAGCCGGATGGCTTCGTCGTAGTCCTGAATGGCTGCCTGGTGCATGTCAAGCTTCCGTTTTGACAAGCCGCGGTTGTAGAAGGCAACCGCATCCTGCGGGTCTAGCCGGATGGCCTCGTCATAGTCCAGGATGGCTGCGTCATACTGGCCAAGCTTCCGCTTTGACGAGGCGAGTTCGTAAAAGGCATCCGGATCCAGTGGGTCCAGCCGAATGGCTTCAGCGCTGTCCCGAATCGCCCCGTGGTACTGCCCAAGCTTCCGTTTTGACCTGCCTCGGTTTTTGAAAGCACGCGAGACCTGCGGGTTCAGCCGGATGGCCTCGTCGTAGTCCAGGATGGCCGCCTGGTACTGGCCCAGCTTGTGCTTCGACGCGCCGCGGTTGTAGAAGGCACGCGCATACTGCGGGTCCAGCCGGAGGGCCTCATCACAGTCTTGGATGGCCTTGTCGTACTGGCCAAGACCATTATTGGAGACGCCGCGGTTGACGAAGGCACGCGCGTCCTGCGGGTGCAGCCGAATTGCTTCACTGTATACCTGGATGGCCGCCTGGTACTGGCCAAGATCGTGCTTCGGCTTCGACCCGCCACGATAGATGAAGGCACGCCCGTTCTGAGGATCCAGCCGGATGGCCTCGTCAAAATCCTGGATAGCCGCATCGTATTGGCCAAGATCATCCTTCGAGTGTCCGCGCTTGCGGAAAGCATCCGAATCCAGCGGATCCAGCCGGATGGCTTCATCAAAGTCCTGGATGGCTGCCTGGTACAGGTCAAGCTTTCGTTTTGACAAGCCACGGTTGTAGAAGGCAACCGCATCCTGCGGGTCTAGCCGCATCATACTGGCCAAGCTTCCGCTTTGACGAGGCGCATTCGCAAAAGACATCCGCATCCAGTGGGTCCAGCCGAATGGCCTCGCTGTAGTCCTGGATGGCTGCCTGGTACTGCCCAAGTTTGTGCCTCGCGTAGCCACGACGGTCGAAAGCATCTGCATCCCATGGATCCAGCCGGATGGCCTCGTCATAGTCCTGGATGGCTGCGTCATACTGGCCGAGGTCAGCTTTCGAGTTGCCGCGTTTGCAGAAGGCATGTGCATCCTGCGGTTTTAGCCGGATGAACTCGTCACAGTCCTGGATGGCCGCCTGGTACTGGCCGAGCTCGCACTTGGACTCGCTGCGCTTGTAAAAAGCAAACGCATACTGCGGGTCCAGCCGGATAGCCTCATCATAGTCTTGGATGGCCGCCTGGTACTGGCCAAGGCCCCATTTTGATTTGGCACGGAGGTTAAAGGCAACTGCATTGTGTGGGTCCAACCGGATGGCCTCGTCGTAGTCCTGGATGGCTGCCTGGTACTGGCCAAGCCTTCTCTTCGACAGGCCGCGGAAGCAGAATATGACCGCATCCATCAGGTCCAATTGGATGGCCTCGTCGTAGTCCTGGATGGCAGCCTGGTATTGGCAAAGCTTGTGCTTTGACACGCCCCGGTTGTAGAAGGCAAGCGCAAGCTGAGGGTCCAGCCGAATGGCTTCATCATAGTCCTGGATGGCTGCCTGGTACAGGCCGAGCTTCCGTTTTGACAAGCCACGGTTGTAGAAGGAAGTCGCATCCTGTGGGTCTAGCCGGATGGTTTCGTCATAATCCTGGATGGCCGCCTCGTGCCGGCCAAGCTGCTGCTTCGAGAAGCCGCGGTTGTGGAGGGCGGCTGTATCCTCCGGGTTCAACCGGATGGTTTCGTCGTAGTCCTGGATGGCCGCCTCGTCCTGTCCAAGCTTCTCCTTCGAAAAGGCGCGTTCGAAGAAGCCGAGTGCAAACTCGGGCTTCAGCCGGATGACCCCATCGAAATCCTGGATGGCCGCGAGATACAGGCCGCGTTTGCAGAAGGCACGCGCGTCCAGCGGGTCCAGCCGGATGACCTCATCGAAGCCCTGGATGGCTGCCTGGTACTTGCCAAGCTTCCGTTTTGACATGCCGCGGTGATCACAGGAGTCGGCATGCTGCGGGTCCAGCCGGATGGCCTTGTCGGTGCCCTGGATGGCCACCTGGCACTGGTCCTGCTTCCGTTTTGGCAAGGCGCACTTGTTGAAGGCAAGCGCATTCTCCGAGTCCAGCCGGGCGACAACACGGCGTGCCATCATGAGATGGCGGGGAAGGGCGGCACAAGTATGCACAAATCGCAAGGAACTGGGAACTTTGAGACGAAATCGGTACGGCGAGCGCACATGCATCGGGTTGAAGCTCCGATGTTTGGGGCTGCGGCATTCTTGCGTTGATACGGTTGCGGCTTACTGTATGCATATGTGTGTACCCATAAATCCTGCCCGTATTATTACCACAGCCTCGTCCAAACACTGTACATGCCTTAAGGGCCGTCTGGCGGACCGTGCAAACACGGATGGTGCCGCATCTGACCCCCCAGCTGAGACTTAAGTTGCATCTATCAGCCGGGCGAGCCTATGGAAGCTGCCCTTACCAAGCCATGGCGGCTGGCCCGCATCAATCCACCACAAGATTGCTTTGACAGGTCGTGCTGGCAACTGATTCTGTCTTGCATCCGTAATGCCAATGGCCGAAAACCTTGCATCTCGCGAGTAAAAGTGGAGACTTCGGCTGCATGGGAGTCTTGCACCACCGCCGCTAGATGGCTGCAGGGGAGCCTGGAGACGACCTACACCCGGTACAGCCGGCGATCAGCCGGTCCCTCCTCTCTCACGACATGTTGCAGGGAGGCCACCTTGGAGAGGATGATGACCTGCCTTCCCTCCTCCGACAGAGCTTGGCCCACATACTGGTTCATCCTCGACAACCGGAGGGCATGAAATTTGAGCATCCCTTTATTACATCTGCAAGCTCTCCAGAACGGGAAGAGAGCTCAAGTCTGGAAGCTGGGGCTCGAACAGGGCACGCGCTTGGTTCCATTGCTTCTCGTTGCCTGGTGGGTCGTTAAGCTTCCCTTTCCACCCTAGGAGTGTGTTGCTGGGGTAGCAACAGGCACAACCAGGCTGCACACATTTCAGGTCGGCCCACGGCCGGCTCAGAGGAATGAAGACCAGGCCACCCACAATCGTGTACTCCTTTGCTTGCAACATCTTGCAACCCATCAGAACCAGGCAGAGTCCATGCTTTAGACATCACACACGTGTCACGCGTCCTCACATCCGCAAGTTCTCTCAAGACTCAAGAAGCTGGGCATTCTGAGTTCATCACGGCGGCAGCATCGTAGCCATCCATGCGTGGAACCAGCCAGCGGTCGGGCCTGGCCCCAGAGCAGAACCAGAGGCACAAAGAAATTAGGGAATCTGGGGCTTGGCCGATGCGAAGCCACAAGCAGCTGTTCATGGCTTATATGACGGCGCTGCAGAACTTCTGCCGAAGTGCACATGAAACACGCCACACCCAAGCCTCAGGGGAATGTCCACCTGAGAGATGGTGTTGGATGCTTTTTGCAGCTGCGGTGCTGAGCCTCTAGGAGACGCCACTACAATCTCTACAACTACGACCGCTACAGCAAGCCCTCTCCAAAAAATTCGTCTAAACAACCCATACAGAGATTCAGCAAACGATGAAAAATCCCCAGGCCTCTAGCTCGCTCTTCTGGCGCCAGACTTTGAGATGAACGGACTCGTATCCTGTTGAAAACCACAAGAAAGGTTCTGCGGCTTTTGGGGTTTTTGATAGGACCTTAGGGAGTCCAGGTCTTGGAGTCTGGGGTTTGCTGCTTGGACTTTGGGCTGAGGACTGTTGCAACGTCCAAACCTGAGCGAGCAACCGGCAACAAGAAAACGCGTGCAGTCCGGCGCTGCGCTTCGTGACCATGTGCAGGAAGTGGATTCGCTCCTTACCCGAAGCCAACGTTGGACTGGAGCGCGGGACTGGAGCGCATGTCTCCACAAAGGCGCCCGGCATTGTCTCGCAAAGGAACGGTACCGTCCTCGCAGGAAGCTTACGAAAGCGGAGTTCAACAAAAGTTCGCATCGGCCCGGCCGTCCTGGCTAATTTCGACACCATCAATCTCCAAGAGCACATCATCCTCCTTTCACGAGAAAGTCGAAGTATCATGGGCCGTGTCTGCACATTAGAGGATGGTGAGTCTTCCTAGACTGTTGCCTTATGCGGCACACTTCGTCGACAGAAAATTCGGCTAGTTCGGCTCCGTTCATACAAGTCTCCTGAAGCCGTGCAGACTAAAACAAGGCCTGTAGCTTTCCAGATGATGACCCAAGCGGTGCTACCTCCACAGCGCTTCACGCGAACATCGCGAAAGAGCCATAACATCAACAGCCTCTCCGCAGCATGCATCCCATCTGTGAACATGGGCCTTCGCAACGCGGACACCAGCAGTGCAGCCCTGGTGTTGAAAGGACACGTCGCTGGTGCACAAAGACAGCTACTTGGTAATTACTAGGTGCAATCCTGCTTGCAGGTCGCTTTCTCTTCCAGACCCTCGAATGCTCCGCAGTCCAAGGCCAGGGCACTGGCAAGATGCTGAAGCGCTAAGATTGACGCTTGTCAAGAATCAAGAACGAATCTGCTTCACCCATACAGAACGTCAGAATTCTATCGCAGCGGGAGACGAACCCCTCAAGGTCTGTACAGTCAATCCACTGCGCCAGCCCTATAGGAATTAACGCTGATGAACATCTCCGGAGAGATGCCAGCAGCAGCCGGGGGACCATTGCAAAAGCACGGCCAGAAGCGCTTCTTGTCATAACGGAATGCTGTTGTGATTTCTCAGCTCGGCCACCCCTGGTCAGGAGCCTCCAAGGCATCAGCCATCAGAGATTTTCAGGAGGTTCAATGCAAACCCCATGAAGGTCCCTCCGTCGGTGCACGATGGGTGCAAGGATGGCCATTCAATCTGCAAGGTTTCGGCTTAGCCTTTGGCTTACCTGTGAGGATCCTGGCGTATCAGATCGAATGGCCAGCGGGAGAAGCTGCTGCAAGAGCTGCTTTTGACGCCTATGCAGAAAAGCCGTCAGAAAAGAGGATGCACCTTCAATCAGAACCCGTAGGACACTCACATCCGACACAGACTATAGAGACCGCTGCGGCAGAAGGTGTATCCTTGTTCTACGGCAATGCTGTGGTGGCCTTGCAAGCTGTGCTGTCATCTTCCTTTTCTCGTGAGGCTGTTGCGAGCTGTGTTGCAGCCCAGTAAGACGGTTGTTGGTCTCGGTGCACACGGTGCGCAGCACAGCAAGCTGGGCTTGTGCTTGGACAAGCTCAAAGGTCAACCAGCCATGCCGTCAAACTGCAAATTCACCTGCAATCTATAAGCCTCCTTGATGAGGTTGACGTCACATCTCTCGATGAGGGTGCATAGGATACGAAAATAGCATCGGCTGATAGGAGCTCCGAGATACCAGGGGACAAAAGTAACAAACTGATGCGGCTTCAACCTCTTGAAACAGCTCGATCTGTGCGACTGGACCCTCGAAGTTGTCGACAAACGCAGTCAGGACTCAAAGCATGGAAAGTTGTGCTAGGATGTGTGCCCGTGCCAATACACAGCTGATACTTACGTGACAACTGGCGGTTGTAGGCAATTGTAGGATCAACTTTTCGCCATCAATCGCCTCCACTAGCCTCCAGAGCTTTGATACCGCAAAGAGATGCAGGCTTCAACAGGGTAAGTTTAAAGCACTCACAATGAGAACCCAGAGCCCTCTGAAGCTGCACGGAATCTGCAGCAGAAGTAATCTAAAACTGCTTTTGCTTCTTGATGTTTGGAGATTGTGTGTTAGGTTGATCGCAGTGTGCTGGTGTTTTTTGCTTGCCGGTTCGACCGTTCTGTATCTGGCCTTGACCTCGGTGCTTGACTACAGCCTTAATCGGCCTTACTTACAGGGTGACCAGCCCGACCGCGTTGCAATTCACAATTAAGCTCGCGCAAGCGAGAAGGATTGAGGCAGCAAGCGTGTCGTTCGCATCGCGAAAGCAGCAAGGCCTTGAGAGGATTCTTAGCCTCTTCACGGCTTGAAGCCGCGCACTTCTCTTAGCCGGGCTTCTCGCTTCCTCACGGGGCCGTCATCACTTTCCCCCATTTCTCTCGCTCTCCTTTGAATCTCACGTGATTCGGTCTCTCCCAGCCAAGAAAGCCACACAAGTGACATGGCAGCCTAGAATGGAGCGGCCTTCCCTCCATGGGGCGAGCAGAGTCTGGCATGAACCACCTGTTCCCTGCCCCCGACTTCTAGCGCCCGTGCCCCCGGCGGCCAGTTTTGTAGCACTCCCCAGCACCCCCACTGTTCTCAGCATTCGGCTTCACCACGAAACCAAACCACACAAGTCACAGCTTCCACAACAAGCCATTCGCGCAGATCACGAGCAGTCTATAGTCCCCTCTCTCTCTCTCTCTCTCTCTCTCTCTTCGCACGTGCGCTTCGTTTTCTTTTGGTCGGCGCCTCCATGGCCAGGCCTTCGGCGTGGAGCGCGAAGCTTCTTCGAGGGCGCCGGGAAGTCCATGCGCTCCCCGGTACCTGGCCACCAAAAAGCCGTGAGGAGTGAGGAGCCGCATCTTGGTACCCTTACAGTATTTGTCAGGCTCCTACTACGTTTGAGAGGACAGAAGGACCTCTCTGCCAAAAATGCTCCTTCCTTGTCCGTTCGACAGACTCCGGCCTTGCGCAAAGATGGCAGGCTTGAACTCGTCGGGCACGCTGCTGTGCATGATAGGGCTGTCCCTGGTATGGAGAGCACACCCCTGGCCGTACCTTCTGGCTCGCTCCGGTTTCCCCGCCCAGCCTGTATCGGTCCACGTGTGCTTGCTGCCCCTGATGAGGACCGCTCCAACTCACGCTGCACACCTCCCAAAGTTCGCTGGCGCGGGGCAGGGCTCATCGCTACAACGCTGCAGCTTGCATTGCGAGACTCTGCTGCGTGTGCAGGCTTAAGCAGAGCAAGGCTCTGAGTTGTCTCCATCCGCAAGCTTGCAAAACGTGAGTGATCTTCCCCCAGCCTTCGCGCTCGGAAGAACCCACCGCGTGTAGCCATCAAAAACTTTCCAGAATGCCTCCGGCTTCAAGCAAAAAGCAACACACCAAGCACATGTCAGCCATCCAAATTGGCTGGGCTGCCCTCATGAATTTAAGTTGATGCCAAATGATGACATGCTTTCAAAAACCTGAAGTTTCCCCTCACTTCGAGAGCCTTGACAGCCTTCTCGTCGACCAGATTCACCTTGGTGCGCAATCGACACGTCGGATTCGATGTGTGCCGACCGGCATAGCAGAATGGTGGATCAAGTCGAGGAGCAAAGGCATATCCCAGGTTCGCTTTGGACCGGAAGTCCTGAGGAAATTGCTGGCTTGCCTGTTCTACCACGTAGTCTACGGATGGTCCACCTTTTCTCTGGACTAGAACTGAACCTGCTTTCCAGGACCCTCCTTGTATTTGAGGGGGTATATGGTCCCAAATAGTGGGTACCTAGGGTCTAATAGAGGGTAGATGGAGGGTCTAGGATACTTGTAAGTTCATAAGCCCAGGCCTAGGCTGATCCCACAGAAGTCTGCAAACCACAGGTGCAGCGGCTCAAGAGCCCCCTTTGCCAAGCGACGATGGGGAGGTACAGGAAGTCGTACTTGCCCTGGCAGGGTCGCGTTCGGTGCACCCTTAACACAGACTTGACATACAAGTACCGGTGTTGCAGACAGAGACACAAGTCACATGAGAGTTCTTGGCACTGCCCTGCACAGAGTTGCCAGGCCTTAAAATTTTCCTTGTCCATCATGGTGCTGACCATGGCCCGGGTGTAGTTGTTGGGAAGATTACCTTCGTCTGTGAACATTTATTCCAAAGAAAACCCTGAATCGCATTTCCTGCGAACTGCGCCTGACTCACTATTACCGGAAGCCCTGCACAAAGACAAAGGAGGCTGAGGCATCATACAAGCTGTTTGCATGCTATGGCAAGCCAACCGCCAACCTACCCCGGCTCTCTGGGCAGCGGTGCGCAGCATCACGGTGGTTCGTGGCTGCGAGGATTGCGATGAGCGTGGCTGCGAAGATGTGCTATCTGAGCCGCGACGGCACATGGGCGGGCAAGGTTTCGGGATGGCGCTCCAGAGTACCACCTCGCCTGATGGTTGCGGGGTCGGAACGAAGCCCGGCCTGTACTGCCGCGCCGCACGACCCATCTGAGGATGAAACCCTAGCATGCCGAGGCGCAATGTGGGCACGCCCGCAACCACATACTGGGCCAAAAGCTGGTCCAAGGAAGGCCTTTGACAGGCTCGGCTCGGTTGACTGGGTTCGGGGTTTGGGTCTTGGGTATCAAGTTTCGAATTTTGGGGGCTTAGGCTGGTGAAGACTTGAGCGTCGCCTGTAGATCCCTGCAGCTCCCAGCACGGGCATCATCGGTGGAGCTCGACCGACCCTCGAGTGCGTCTCATCCTCAGGGGGGCAAACATGGCCCCGGCCCCGGCCACTGGCTCTCAAGTCATAAGCCGGGCCTCACTCAAGAGCGTAGAGATCAGAAGCCGACTCCGTCCCGAACTGGAGCACTCGGGGCCCTCCTTTTCGACACCCAGCAAGCCGAGCTCGCCAAAGCGCAGACAAAAAAAAAAACAGAAAGGAAGAAGAAGAGCAAGAAAAAGGACTCGAGGCCTCGATCTTGTCCTTCTCGACATGGGACTTGCCCCCAAGCAACACCGGAAGCTCCTCTTCCTGATCGTCCACCTCATCGACTCATGGGGCTCGGAGAACAGGGCGAGAGATTCTGCTTCGCCAGCCTCCTCGATCGGCCTTTCCGTCTTGGACGCCGTGGATCTTACAAGGTCGATGGATCTCCTCAGTGCTTGCAGGATGCTGCATGCGGCTGTTATTCCCCCGAAGACCAAACAGATGAACACATGGGAGGGGCCCTCCCTCGCCGAGAGACGGAAAGTCAGGATACTGTTCCGTCTCCAGGTCCTTTGACTGGATGTACGGGGAGCCATCAGCGTCCTCTGGCACGGCCTCGCAGAGCCCAGGGCCCAGGAAATCGAAGCTCGGACATCCCCCGCCTCGTCGTCCACCACGGATTTGCCACTGAGCTGTCGGCCAAATCTCGAGGTAATCACGGAATCCTTGAGCCGAGTCTAGCCGCCATATACAAAGTTCCCAACAGAAGCATTGAAAAAAAAAAATCCAACAGAAGCTCTTCAAAAAATCCACTTGCTGGCCAAGGCTCTGAGTTGTAGGTCGCTGGCAATCCCCTCGGAGTGATGTCCTCCACCACCTAAAAAAAGCTGCAGAATCCCGGACCTGCAGCTACTTTTTGCCTTGAGGATCCTGTCCCACCTCCAGGAACGTCTTCTTTACAATGACTTTGTCTGTCCCTGGCGGAGTGCGGCTTTGTGGGAAGAGCGAAGGGCTTGCCCCCATCCAGCCTGAGTCCCCGGAGGGGAAGGGAAGTCGCAGCCTCAGCATCTGATGGCGAGCATCGAGACGGGAGATAGAGAAGCCGACAAGATTCATGCACCATGCTGCTGACGCGAAGTGCGACTGTACAAACTGCTGGTGAAGCTGGCATTGCTACGTTTCGGAAATGCCCTGCATACATAATTAATTCTGGTGCAAACAACTGGCATAGCGTGAGTTTGACGAGGACGACCACGATCCCAAACAGTGGACCGGCAGCAAAGCCTGGAATGCCTCATTCCTCATCTACAATCCAAGGCACGGCTCCATGGCCTTCGGCGTTCGTCGGGTCGGCGCTGTGTGTCTTCGTTTGAAGTTCTCAGCCGCTGCAAGCCGAAAACGTCCGGCGGCCAGCAGCGTTTGGAGCAAGGCCAATACAGTGAATCTAGAATCTAGATCCTCACTATCGCCAGTACATCCAATATGACGCATTGCAGAAGTGGAGCTGGAATCTCGGCCAGGCAACGACTGACATCCCAGGCCTCTGGCAGGCCAAACATCCGCCGCAGCGGGACGCTCTCCTGCGAAAAAGGCGATACCCCTTGTCTGCCAGGGCTGTGTTTTGAGATCAATGAAAGACTAAAAGTGTCTTCGTCGCGCTGAAAACCCCTCCCCGAAGGAAGCCTAATTTTGGGGCCTTGATATTATGAGTTCACACGCATCTTCATTTAAGTTGCAACCTTTTTCTCCGACGTCAAGAGCTTCGTCCACTGCGGGCCCAAGCGACCCACCTTTAGTTTGCGGAAAACGTATTGGCCATTCAACTAGCGACCAGTAAATCACTGACAGAAACCAACTGCAAGCCAGTTGCTTCCAAAAATCGCCACACTTGCGGCCTCTACGCATGACAACTAATAAGCATAATCATCATAATTATCATAATCGTCGAAGAAATCTGACCCTTCCGGCCGCTCGACACTCACGGCAATCGTGCCTGGCTTTACCCTAGTCCATCCTGCTCCGTAATTGATTTGGCGGTTCATATTGCAGTCGTGGCAAAAGGGCACCAAGTAGCACTTGCCCGGATCAACCATGTCCTTGATGTCGATATGGGCTCCGACAATGTGGTTCCGATTTCGACCCTGTCGACACTGGGCGTTGCAACACGGGGGATTGGCGGCGTTGACCTTGTCCCTACCCCAGGCATAGTGCTTCCATTGGCGGATGAACGAATGATCCTTGGGACGACCTTCATGCTGGCTGGAATCGACCACGTTACAGACCAGCTCCCGTCCGCTGAGGCGGTATGCCTTGCTGGGGAAATCCATGTTGGCGACAAGTTCGCCACCGCTCGAGAACGGCAATTGTCGCCCACAACGGTCGTCGGCCCCATCATATCCGCCATATCCTCCGTAGTCACCTCCGTATCCTCTGCTTCCACCTGTGTAGTACATCGGCAAGTCAGAGGTAAGGGCTTAACAAGTGGGCAAGTGGCCTGTGTCCTTGGGCCGGGGGGCTGCATCATCCTGATCTGAACAATCCAGAATTGGACTTTGTTTCCTTCCATGTTATACCAGTAGCCTTCTAAACTCTGAGACATTACAGACAACCTAAGTTGCCGGATTTTGCCAAGGATACGGCCTGCAAGGAATCTGCATACGTTGAATGAGATGGCAAAGTGTATGAGAGGTCAGATGGACTACTTGTTTTTTCAGAACGAGAAGTGTTGGAAGACTGCCACCCTATTCAGGTTTCTATGTTCAGAACTCAGAACTCATGATTCTTGAGCATAGCCGCAGCTAGGTCCCCGCTGTCGGTTGAAAATCCTAATTTTGTAAAGGGACCACCTGTTATCCCCCTTACAATCCCTCTACATCCCTAAGAGCCCCTCTTTTGTTGAAATCCCCGAATATCTACGATATAAGGTTTAGGACCAGGAACTCCGGTTTGAAGGGGCTTGGGAAGCCCGAGTCGTAGGGAACTTCTGGGGGGGGCCGTTGGGCTCGAGGGCCTCGGATCCTTAGAATTGGAAGGTTGAGGGTTTGGGGTTTGGGTTTGGGGAGGCTGGAACCGTCAATTCAGCTCATGGAATTCTCAGTGACACGATAAGCTGCTCGACATGCCAAGAACCCTCACCAGCAGAGGTCTCCAACGTCTGCACGCTGCCAACACCGAGGGAAGAGACGCCGAGGTATCCCTGCGGAGCTCGACGCTCGACACTTCTTCGGATTGTTTGCACTCACTATCATTCAACACTAATATCACTTACCTCAGACTTCAGACCTCCCTCTTTTCTTCTTGGCCTTCGCGGGCTCTCCGCCTTCAGCTGCGCGCTCGGGAGCGCCCTGCAATCCTTCCGTTTTGGATGCAGCAGAGACCACAAAGCTGGGAAGATTCCGGGCTGGTGCGGGCTTGTGCGCCTGCACAGGAGATGAATTGCTCCAAGACCTCGCCACACTCAACGCCACAGAAGAAGGTGCAAAGCCCTCCAACATCTTGCTCAAGCACCTGCCTGCGTTGGAATGATGTAGCCGATATTCGAGGCCTTTGCTCCAATCTCCCGTCCCCTCACCCGTGAGTGGCAGCACAAATCATCTTTCTTTGATGCCTTCTGGACCGATCCAGCTGCAGCCGGAGCAAAGCCCTCCTCTGGTCAAGCCTGCTCTATGGATGGCGGCCTTCTGAGCCCTTCTGAGCCCTGGGCATGCTTCAGATGGCTCGCCGCCACACCCACGATCTTACCGTGACTTCCCAGAACGGGGCCACCAGAGTTGCCTGCTCGTCAGCGAGAGCGTCAGAGCGTCAGAGCCAGCAAATCTTGAACCACAAAGGCTCAAGGAGTTCAGGGCCTAGTGTTGAGACCTTCCTTATGCAGGCCCTATAAGCATTAAACCCTGACCCGGTCACGCGCCTGGGTTGATTGCTGCATCGATTTGGACTCGCAGCAGCCCGTCATGGTGGACATCGATACCTAGCAGCATGAATTCGACTTCCAACTGCAGCCCGTGGACACTATCCCGAAGCCCTCAGGATGTTACAGGCAGTTACAGCTGTGCCGTGGTTTCGCACGTCAACATCGAACTGGCATTGCTCGCTTCTTGAGGCGGCTGCGCGACACCACACCGCGGGTCACAGAGATGTTCTCTCCGCCCACAGGAAAGCCAATGCACCTTCTCGTGACGCCGATTTCCAGCGGTTGAAACAATGTAAGATCTGCGTTGGTTGTTTAATTAACAGGTATGGCCGGCCATACAAGTCCCTGCAGTTACTCATGAGGGCCGAGGTGCGTCACGTTGTCGTCCAGCTTCGGGATGTCTCGCGACAACGTCAAAGACTCCTCTGCGGCAACGATGTTATCACGAGGAAAGCCCCGATACATGGTGGTGAACATAATGTGATGCTGACCATTGTCGCTCTTAGCATGATCATCATGGCTAGCCACGATGAGCAGTTCCTTATGACTAACACTCTTGTAGTCATGGTATTGCGTTGCCTATCAGTGCCACACTGATCATCATGCCAAATATTGATGTCAATCCTGGTGGTACTCTTTGCACGCTGCTGTTACTAGCAACGACTTGAGGAGGCCACAACACCGAATCAAAGCTCCTTGCCCTTCCAGAACTCATCCTCCACGGCCAGAATTGCCAAATCACCTTCGGTGCAACACATGTTCAGCATCACAGTATCTCGAACATTGGCGTGAAACGGCATGAGCAGCCAAGCGGCATGGCAGACCGACAGCCAAAACCCTGCAGCAGGCGAGGTTGGCACACCCCTTCGAACACACACACACACACACACACACACACGACACCCAATAAAGTAGTTTGGAACACTCTGCGATTTTGTGACTGCCGCATCAGGCCTTGCATTCCACTTCACCGGTGGCCCGACCGTCGCACGGACGAGCACCGAGACAGCGCGATGCACCACATGCGCATTGGTAACCACGAACCTCTGGAAACAGAAACAGGGACCGTGGCAGAAACCAGAACAGAGACCAAAGGACGGAGTCGAAACGGGAAGGGAGCACAGGCAGATACGTCTGTCCTCAGAACTTTGTCAGAGGCCGGCCTGCCATCAAGGAGGAAGCCCGTGCCCGTAGAGGCACTCTGGCCTCTCACGAAGAGCCACACAGACCAGAGACCGCTACACCATTGACAAACCTCCGACCGAGCTTATCCAGGTTCCACAAGCAGAGTCCCATAGGCTGTTGCACATAAGCCCACAACTGAGGGACGTGCTATGCTTGCGCCACGGGTCAGCAAAGTTGCATGGGACCTGCCACCAGCTGCTTCTGCTTTGCAAACAAAAGCCCTGATTAAAGTGTCGCCGCACACCCTCTTCACGAAGAGCTTGCACACAGAGCCCGTGCCCGCCGACACGCCGCGGCTGTGCCGGGCTCGACCTCTGCAGCAGAAGAGTTGCAATTATACAACAAACGTCAAGCCGACCGCCTCGCCTCCAGTTCGTTGGCGCTTGGAGGCTCGTGTGACTACGTCTTCACCTACGGCAAGGGAGAGTTTCCGAGAAAAAACACTTCCTGCATTTTGCGGGCATGCGCCTCCCTCCGAGCCGCCCGATTCACAGCTGTCGGCCATCAGGAGCCGTGGGATGAAAAGCAAGCGGCTTCGTTTGTTATTGTCTTCATGGACCGACATGATCTCAAATCTGAGCAGGTGTTTGGACATATCTCTCCTGATGAGCGGCTGTTGGGTCGGTCGTTGGATGTCTCGGGCATCTTCTGCCAACACTCCGTGTGAACCGTTCTCTCCTGCAGAAGTGGAAGGCCCAAAAGGGCTTGATACAGGATGGCAGCCACACTCCGGCTTGGATTCACTAGTAATTACCCTAGAGCCCCAGAGTCCCCTAGAGTTCGTGTGCAAAGCTTCTGTGAAACACACTGTCATTGAGACTGTGGCGAATGGGAGATGTCTCAGGCGACGTCATCCTTGCAGAATGACACGCGGAAGTCACTGACACCAGCAAGATCATCATGAGTGGGTCTAAGCATGACCTTGCATGTGCGGATGGTTGGGGAACTATGCACTCTGTTGGCACCTTCCAGTTTCGTGCCTTTCGCCGCTGTTCAAAAGTCACAGTTCAAGCTTGGCATCGGCTTTAGGCTTTGTCCAAGTTCGGGCACAACCCAACCCAAAAGCGAACTTGAAGTAAGCATTTGGCGATGCATAGGGCAAACTCTAGCTCCCCAAGCAGTGCCCTGCCTTTGAGGGTCCTGCCGAGGCATTGTAACCATGAAGTTTTCGCAGCGGCCTTCCAAAATCTTCGGAACGAAACGGAGAACTGCGAGGCCAGAGTGACCGTGACATGCAGACGGCCTCGAGAGTGCACCGGGCTGTGCCTTGGAAGCCACTTTTCGAAACTTCCTAGCACCAGACACCGAGGATGCCGAGGACCCAGCCCACCGCCACAGCCACGGCCCGGCCTGACCTGGAGAAGGCCCGTGTAGAAAGGGAGTCAGAGTTGAAGCCCCACGGCCCGGAGCCACGGCCTCAACCAGATCCTCTACGCCCTGGCCTCCTCACTTCGCTGAGGCAGAGCTGGCAGGGCGTTGAGGTCGGCTCGAAGAAAGTGACAGACCTTTCAGAGCACAGGCGTCCGCCCCAAATGCTTGCTTTCCTGCTTTCTGGGCCTGGAGCTTAAACCCCTGCGCCCCGTGTGCTACCAGGTACGAGAGACGCCGACATGTGGAGCATGTCCAAACATGCCCCCGACATTTCTAATTCTAATCACCGCGAGCGCATTCCCGCTCTCTGTCTCTCTCTCTTTCGCCAGGGCTGGGGTGGTCTCTCCCTCTCCCTCTCTCTCTTCCCTTCTAATTAACTACTTCTCGCTTGTCTGGACAAAGGTCGGCACGTCTGGAGTCTGCAGCGGCAGGCCCTGGCGCAAGAAAAAAGTTGCTCTTCCGCGGCCTAAGCCTAAGATTCAGGAAGAGCACTGCACTGTAGCTTTCTGAATGTCCGTTCATTCTTGCCTTTGACTGGAGTTCAGACAAGTGCAAGTCAAGTGAAAACCAGACACTCACGTGCACTCTCGCACGTCTGCAAAAAGTATCTCGACATGCCCAGGCCTCGGTTGGCGATGCCGCCAAGAAAGGCGGACTGGCGAAGGGCACAGGGCATTGCTTGGAGTGTTCATCCGACTTGTCAGGGCACGGTTGCAGGGAATCGCGGTCCATCGCCGAACGCAAGCTCTGGCAGAGCGCGGCTTTTGTTCCGCGCGTGCAGCGATCCACCCGTCCGAGGACTCATTGCAAAGCAGGACGTCTGGTCCTTCGGAAATGCAACAGATGCCTGCGTTCGTCATGCATGTTGCAAGTTCAATGCAAGCCATAAGCCAGGTCCAGAGTGGCGTCGAAGTGACAAGCGGAACGAAAGCCACACCATCAGGGTCCTGCCATAGCCCAAGACTCAAGGTAAGGAGAAGCAAATCAAAGCTCTCCTTGCTCTGGGAACGGCACCATCAGCGCCATCGCGGTGGGGAGGCTCCACCCCTTTCAAGAAGCTGCAGCATCGCCCACCCGGCTAGTACCAGTACGAGGTTTCAGTCATGCCGGCAGAGGCAAGCCTCCCCCATGGTCTCTCAGCTCCGCTCTGTCCTGCCAGCACAGGCAGTTGTACATGCAACAGCCACTCCGAACCCTGCACCGCCCGGCTTTGCAGGTCCTTGGCGCTCAACGGTGGAAAGACACCAAGCTCCACCGGCATTGCCGCCGCAACGCGACGGGCAAAGGCCTGTCGAGGTTTTGGAAACCTATGTAGATTTTTGTCAAATGTAGAGCATCTTGCGGAAACAAAGACCCCTGGAAAGAAAGGCCAAGCTTCAGGTTGAGGGAACATGCTTGCTATTGAACCGAGCTCAACGGCACAGGCACGTAAGCGAACAGTAAGCCTCGAGTTAAATGGCCTAAAGCCCTCCTAGCAGCTCTGATCAGCTCGTGCCGGCAGAGGCACATGTAGGGTTTTAGGGCTAAGGGTTTTTACAGTTCTTGGCGCCTGAGCGAATCCTCCATGAAGCGACCGCAGTAGCTCGTGGAGTACAGCTGCCTTTGGAGCTTTCCGCAAACCCACAGGCAGTTTGGGGGGGTCACAGCTTTGAATCGATGAGCAGGTTTGAAAAGGGCTGCACAAATTTTCATGTGCTTCACTCAAGGGTCTATCTCTTTTATGTTGTCCGTCTCTTCGTTCTAGAACCCTGAAAATCCTCTAAGACCATAAACATCGCCTACCCGCCCGAACCCTAAGACCCTGAACCCTTGAACCCGAATACCCTTTACCCGCGCTCGAAAACCCAACGCCCGAGGCCCTGAGACCCTAGAAATCTCTGAACCCTCTCCAAACTCCACTCCTGATCCTTAACCTGCTGCACTCCTAAAAGCAACCCTCAGCCCTCGAAGCCGCTTCTGCCCCCCTGCCACGCATGCCTCACCAACACCAGCGCTTCGACCGCCGAGAAGGCTACGCGGGCGCCACCAAGCTAGCTGCCTACCCGAAGTGTCCAAAGTGTTTCAACTAAGAGAATAAGTTTTGAGGCTTTGACAGGGTCCTCAATGTGGGGCATTTGGAGTGTCTAGGTGCAGATGGCCGCGCGGCCGCCCGTGGTGGCTGTCCGACAAGGTGGCTTCTTACGATGCACTCAATGACGTAAACCAAGATCGCAGTTTGGCGCTGACCAGCAGAGCAAGTATTGAATTGGAGCTCGAAATTGACTTGAGACTTTCGGATAGCTTTTTCAGCAGGACTGGGTGGTCTCAAGGGGCTCAGGAGGGCTTCGAGTTGAGGCCTGGACAGAAAGCGGGAATCAGGGCAAACAACCCTGAAACCATGCCCCGAAACAATCGAATTCAACCAGTAACAGTACTCCCAACATCTCCCAAGAGTAGATAGTGACGCTTAGGCTGGAACTCGACTGCGCTTGCCACTGCTGTCCTGCAAAGCCAAGGGGACCCTGTAAAGCCCCAGGGAATCCTGTAAACCCCGGAACATCGTGGTTTCCGACCTTCGCTGCAGCTCCCCAAATAGAAAGGCTGCGGGCTGCTGGGCTCCAAAACCTTCGAAGAGCAAAGTGCAGTTCTGGCCATTAGAGCTTGAACTCCCAATGTGAACTGCACACTGGAGAGTTCACAGCAATCTAGGGTCCTTTGACTTTTTGATCCTTGATTACAGTAAGGACCCAACAATCTAGGCGTGCAAAAATGAGTAGGGCCCCTCAACGTTCCGAACTACTAGTTTCAGACAAGCCACATGCCTCTGCGGCTTCGACCACCTGCTCAGCGGATGCAAGAGTCATGTGGGAGTTCCAGAGTAAGGCACAGTTAGAAATAAATCAACACACAACTGTACACAAATACAGCCGTGCCATGCATGTGCCATCTCGCTCTCTCGCCTGCAGCGTACCACGAGGACTCAGTGTCAGTGCTGCCTCAAGACGGCGGAAGGTGCATCTGCCACCAGCAAGCTGAAGCCTTTGCCTGCCAACGCAGACCCCTGCGTAATGCCTGAGAGGGCAACATGTCTTGAAGTGTGCTTTTTGAGCTGCCAGCTTGCGCTAACGTTAATTGCAACAGAACTTTTGCAGACCTAGCGGCAAGCAACAATGCACCAAAGACCACCGCATCAGCGCTCACCGAGTCCAACACCATCTCCTTGGTCTTCGCATGTGGGTGGTTGTCAGCATTCTGGCCCCCTGTTGGGTCCGTATTGCAATACGGCGCCTACTTTCTAAGGCACCCAAAAAGGAACCCTTAATTTTGACAACTACCCTCCGAAACAACCGCGGAGTTCTGCACATCTCCGCTGTGTCCTGTGCAACTCTTGCAGACCCTGGCGCAACAAACCTGGCATAAGAAGAACATAATGTGTACACGAACGACGAGATTGCACTAGTATACTGTAGCAGCATATTACATAATCTTATGTTCTATTCTTGTATAGTATACCAAATACAATATAGTATACTATAACATGCTGCACTTTACTCATTATACACATCTCCACCCGGCGTCGTGTCTCAGTACCAGCGCCGCCTCCCAGGCGCTGCGCCGCGAAGCGGCGCTGAGTGCGGAGGCAAAGCTGAACTCATCGGGGGCAAGGCCTCGGCGCACTTTACAGACGACTCTTTTTTCGGTATAAATATACCATTGGAGACTTCAAGAGACTATAGGATACAAGCGAACTCTGAACCTTGAGACACTGACAAAACTGCCTGTGGCATAAGGGCCGAGAAACCTGAATGACGAAAGTCGTGGAGCATCAGCAGGGAGAGCTGCCAGTCTCAGCAGCAATGATTCAACAGCTGCTCCTCTGATCTCCTCTGAACTTGTACATGAAACGTGCGAGTCGTAGGAGGCCCCTGCACCCTCCCCACCTCCCCACCTGGCCTGGGCATGCCCTGAGCGCTGCATTGCAAGCGGCCAGGTCTGGAGCCTCCTGCTACGCGTGCGTAACTCACATTCTCTAGGATTTATCCGAAGATTCGGAAACCGGAAGCTTGTGACTTGTGAGTCCTGGTATGTCAGCAGACTCATCGCTCGTTCCCACTGCTTGGCCTCTGCCAAGGCACTCAGCACGGCCTGGCACAGGATCACATTTAGGAGCTCTTCCGTGACGGGGCATTCCTAAAAGGGGGTTTCAAAATGCTGTTTCGATTTCTGTCAACCGGTCTCTTTCTCTGCACATATCAACATCCCTGAAGCACCCGGTGATCTCTGAGCCTGCAAAAGGCCGGCATCCCAGGGCAGACGCCGAGCGCAGGCCTGGCATTGGGACTGTCAGAATGGCGAAGGTCTGTGTTCTCTAGCCCTAAGGGTTCATGTACCTATATAGTATATACATGGGCCCAAAAGTAGTCCCTATATAGGTACTTTAGGTCCAAAGTATCTAGTATATGGGTACATGGACCCTTAGGGTAGAGACAGGAATGAATGCAACGCAACTCCCGTACTACTGTACTACTGTATGAGGCCAGCTGAGGGCCCAGGGTGCCTTACTTGTTTCTCAATATACCATAGCCATAGCCATAATTCCGTAATTTCATTTAACGTCAATGAGCCGCACAGCTTTCCGAGCACCTCCTGAAAGAGAGCCAGGCTTCGCTGCCACTGCCGCCGCCTGGGACAAGGTCCGGCTACTTTCCGCGGAGATATGGAACTCTCAAGTGCAGAAGGGACTTCAGAGACCTTCCGTATTTTTCTTCCTGTAAGGCTGTGAGGTTTTCGAGCTTGAAAGCCGAGGGTTGGCCCTCTGGCGTGTTTAGACCATCGAGTTCAGACTGTCCTGGAGCATGCCCTTTCAGCCCTATCCTGCCGCAAGCGGCCGCGGCCGCTGACAGGGCCGGGCCATCGCGGGCAGAGCGCAGAAGACGCAGGGACCACCTGAGAGTGAAGAGGATTCACAAGCAGCAGCAGTAGCAGCAGCAGTAGCAGGAGGAGGAGAAGTTGTTAGTAGCGCTGGTAGCTTCTGCACTGGCTGCCAGCAAGCTTATCTGCTAAGCATCCTGCACGCGGATGTCTTCACATTTACAGGCCTGCATGCAGTTGCAAGCAGGAGAAGTGTCCATGAACAGCAGGCAACGAGCTGCAAGCGACTAAAGGGAACATGATCCAGTGGCCTCTGGCCAACTTTCTCATGAAATGCGGCTCGCAGCTGCAGGCCCATGAACTTGTGCTCGTTGGCACATCTCAATAACAGCTACCCTGCATCAAACTGAAGACTGCGGATAGCCACAAGCCGGTGGCTTCTGTCGAACCCGAGCGGGGGCGCTTAAGCCCGTCTCCGTCCCGAGCTCGAGCGCCTGCGCCTGTTGGGCATGGCTATGGCTGTGGCTCTGCAGGACCAAGTCCCAGACTGCGGCCAAGTGGAGTCTCTCGATCATCTCCGAAAGAACTCGGCCAATTTGGTCCGGCACTCTCCGGATGAAATGATTCTGGCCCGCAATCCTCTCTATGAACAAGCAGTTGTCTAGCTCAAGCTCTTGGAACCTCTTGCAGCAGCGCTCGAGCTTCTCCGCCACTTCAAGCGGGTCCTTCCGCTGCCTGCACATTCGTGAGGCCGAACAGAGCATCGCCATGGCATCCTTCAGCTTGCCAACGTCTTTCTGGTCTTCCGAGGCCCGTAGGAGCTTGTAGACAACAGAGAAGTTTAGCTTCTTCACAATCTCCAAAAGATTTGCTTGCATCGTTTCCCATGGAACCCGAACATCGCCAGCGCCCAGCAGTGGGGGCAGTTCACTGAGCTTCATCTCCTCAGGAATCTGGAAAAGGACCGACCGTGTCAGGTCCTTCTTCTCAGGAGAGCGCGTCAGCATGGCCGCGACGTCACCCAAGCTGGATGAGCTGAAATTCTGCGGATGTGCAAGCAGCCATGCAGCAACACTCTCATGCCTCAGCAACACTTAGACTCACCTCCTCTGCGCAAATCGACCAATCGAGAAAATTGCTCGCTCATTGTCTGCCACGAGGCTGCCAGCGAGAAGTTGCCACAGCAACGCCCAGCAGTGCCTGCAGCTTGCTGCTAGCACTGCAGCGAAAGTCAAAGCTTCGCCGAAAAGCCTCTCCTGGACACTTGACGCCGGCAGAGCGCGAGCACGACGCAGCGTTGAAAGAAGGGCTTGGGCCTGCGCTTCAAGTAGCAGTCTACTTCCGAGGGCCGTTTTGGAGATGGAGTTTAGCGGTGAAGGATGGGGCAGTTCACGCAGGCACGCAAGGATCTCCTCTTGCGAGGGCGCAGATCACTTGGGTTTGGGGATGACCATGCCCAGCATGGGACCTGCTGCAGCTGCTCGGCGCGGGCAACAGCGGCCATGGTGGCGTTGAAGCCTTACAGGACCGGAGCTTTCCTTATCATAAGAAGCCGTAAGCAAGATACCCCGACAGAATCTATTGAGGACCGGCATGAGATTGATCTTCTAGGTACACACTCAGGTTACCTCAGTTTCGAGAGCACTGCCTGGTGCACCTTTGCCAGATCCGCTCCGAAGCTATCCGAAGTGCATCGAAACAGTGATCAGGCACATATGCGATCCTTATTTCCATTTTAGTGCAGGCAGCTTCGCAGCGTGGGCTGCAACTGGCATTGCTGAACCTGTCATGTCTAACACGGACATATAAGGCCCAACGACAACGCTCAGTGGGTGCCCACCTTTCCGAGAAGCGCCAAGCTCGCGCGCCAGGCTTGCGCCCTTCCGCAGGCAGCCAAGACAACGGAGGCGGAGGACGCGCCTGGGCTGCAAAAAAAAAGCCCGCCGCTGTTGACTTGAAACCGAGGTCCATTTTCGAAGATCCCATGAAGCGTCGCATGGCGTAGCCTTGCCAAGCGACCCCACGCCGTTTCGGCTCCGCGATCTGCGACCCAAAGCTCCACGGCCGCCTCGGCGTTTCGACTGAGGAAAATCTCAAGAAATCCGAAGAGCCAGGGCAGCGCACCGCCCAGCTCAGCTGCCGGGCCAGGCCCTGCAGTCTGCTCTCCTCGGCAGCAGAAGTGCACGCGCCAAGGCCACAGGGAGACCAAAACTGGAAAAGCTAAGACTGGCGTCCATCGAACTTCGCTCTCCGCAGCATGGTCCACCGCAGTGCCAGAAGCACTTGGCTTTCGGGCATCCAACCCCCAGGGCCGCAGATCGACACTTCGCCCTACAAACATATCCCTCAAAGTTCGCTCTGTGATGTAAGGACGCCGACATGTAGGCTGCTTCAAGAACTAATCCGAGTCTCAGAGCGTGCGAGGCTTTGCATCTTCCTGGAACTTCTGGAACCCTTCGTGTTGTCTTCGATGGTCTGTTCTTCGAGCCGATGCTGCAGACTGCAGACTTGAAGCGCAGGCACAAGAAAACAGCGAAAGGCCAGTGTGCCCCAGCTGACTTCGTTTTCTCAGAAGCTTCGTCAATCTAGTGTCCTAACGCACGGTGCAAAGTTTCTGCCACCGTATCAGTATCATTGAAGCGCATCACGAGACAGCCGGCTTGTTGCAGGCTGCTTTCCCACAATGCGCCGCCTCTTCTTGGGCGGTTGTGTCTGCATGTCCCATGCCGTCAGTGAAAGCTGCTGTCGCACGGCACTGCTGTCACCTCCGTTCTCTGGATCCCCCCATGTGACGACTGATCCATCCTCAAGAAGCGCCGCAAAGGCAAAGCCGTTCTCCTGGATGTGCTGTACACCCCTCAGTTTTCCTTGCACGGCGCGGCTGTCTCCGCCATAGTCGTCTGTACCCCAGCTCACCACTGAGCCGTCCGTCAGGAGGGCAGCAAACGCTTCAGTCGAGGCTTGGATCTGCTGCACCTGCCGGAGCCGATGCTGCACAGCGCTGCTGTCTGAGCCATGCCGCTTACTTCCCCAGGTGATCACAGATCCGTCGCCGCGAATTGCAGCAAATGCAGAGTCATTGCTCTGAATCTGCTTCACATTTCTCAACTGGTGCTGGACGGCGCTGCTGTCTCCACCGCAGTTGCGGCATCCCCATGTAACTACCGACTCGTCCGCCAGGATGGCTGCAAATGCAGCAGCGGAGCCACGAATGCTCCTCACGTCCTTAAGACGACTTTGCGCGGATCGGCTGTCGCCACCTGATCCGCCTGCACCCCACGCGACCACCGAACCGTCCCCTAGGAGCGCTGCAAAAGCCGAATCGGTTGCGGTGAGGCATTTCACAGACTTGAGCTTATGCTGGACAGCTCTGCTGTCACCACCATCTGCCGCGTTGCCCCAGGTAACCACCGATTCATCCTGGCAGATTGCGGCAAAGGCATAGCCACTGCTGATGATGCTTTTGACATTCCTCAGCCGATCTTGCGCAGCATCGCTGTCCCCTCCACAATCTGGTGCGCCCCAGGTCACGACAGATCCATCAGCTAGCAGAGCTGCAAACGCAGCGGTGGAGGCTTGTATCTGTCGCACATTCTTTAGCTTCTTCTGGACTTTTCTACAATCCCCCCCGACATCGTCCGCTCCCCAACACACCACGGATCCGTCCATGCGGAGAGCTGCGAAGGCTGCACAGGAGCTTTGGAGAGCCAAGACATGTCGCAGTTGGTGCTGGATCTTAGTGCTATCGCCACCAAACTCCTGACCTCCCCAAGTCACCACGGATCCATCGGAGCGGATTGCAGCGAAGGCCCCTGCTGTGCCGCGGATCTCCTGGACGTTTCGAAGCTGGTCCTGCACTTTGCTCGAGTCTCCGCCCCCGTCCTTGTGACCCCAGGTCACCACGGAGCCGTCAGCCCGTCGGAGGGCAAAAGCAGGAGCAGTCGAAGCAATTTCCGGCCAGCGCGCGACGGCATTCAGCGAGTCTCCATCTCGCAGTCCGGCTTCTGCAACTGTGCTGGCACGGGAAAGGGTCACTCCAGCCGAATTGACCAGTTTGCTGATGCCAGTCTGCAAGGCAGCCTCTGCGCGCGACTGCACTTCCTTGAGGGTCGTGTCGGCTCCCACACGGACCGGAGTGCTTTTGCCACTCAGCAGCACCACATGGCAAGTGCTGCAAATGGACATGGATGGCCTTCGACCCGCCCTCTTAATCTGAGACAGTTAACTCATCTTGGATCCTGTCCTGCCCCGACAGTGAACATAAGAAACCTTGCACCATGATAAGAGCAATGCGGAAAGCAGACCATCATCGTACTCATAACTTGGGCTTGGCCTGACAGGCGGCGGAGTGTGCGCTCTTCCCTCTCCAGGAAGCGGGACACTTGAGAAGCTGACGAGTTCGATCACTGAATGCTGGAGTAAAGAAGGCACAGCGCCTTGCCCCCGCGGGTGGGCTTGATACCTCGTTCAAACCACCACTCTGCTGCAGATCAGATTGCTGGAGGCTTTTCGCTGACAGCAGTGCCCTTGACCCCATAGCATTCCCTACGAGCTTCAGACAGCAGCTTGCCTCAACAGGCAGTGCGGCGGACACCGGAGAGCCAGGCGCACCAGCCCTGACATAGGGCTTAGAGTCGGAAAACCTTTCTCCATCTTCTCGTATCCTTCGGGCCCTCTTCAGTGCCTGACAGGCATTGGCGGCGGTGGTGGCGGCGCTGTTGTTGGCAGTGTCGCCGGCAGCGTCACTGAGAACGGCCGCGACAAGTCCTGCAGAGGTCGCAGCAAGCTCAAGAAGCTGCCTTTTCTCGTTATTGCAGTCAAGTGGCTGGAGAAAGGATGTCACGTTTCCTCCCGCATTTCCGGCAGTACACGGAGTCGGTCCTGGTTGAGGTGCTGAGGGTTTGGGCTATTTCAGTATGCGTTCATGGCACACGTTGCCTGGACGACATGCATATCTCTAGTAGGGATCCGCGCATGTACACGTTGCCGCAGGCTGGACATCGCGTGGCCTCAGACCAGAACAGGAAAAGAGCAAAGGAAAGGTGGGGTCGACTCTTTCTGGCTACTTAAGACTTAGCACTCTGCCCAAAAGCTTTCCCAAACATAAACTCCCCATGGCTAACAGCCCCAAACCTCAAACCCAGTGTGAGTGAGCCAGTGAGTGAGAATCGACCTGCCGACCCGCGGCCTACCACACGAGCCCCTATGGACTTCCCAGGTTGCGTAATGGGTCCCCTCTGCCGCAGAGTGCTTTCTGAGCTACGGTATGTTACTGTAAATTCGTCCACCCTGCACAAACGAGACGACCTCGCCGCCTGCATGGGTCCAACTGCACACACACACACAAAAAAAAAAAAAGTGACCCCAGCTGCTCTGACTGACTTAGCATATGCGGCCGATCCTACTAGCCGAGGGAGCTGACAAACTGATAGCACAGTTCTCAAGCACAAAGGGAACACACAGGACCACCAACCGCAGCGACACGGCGCGCCCCATATGCAGACTTACCACGATGCTGCAGCATCGGCGGCCAACGCGCAACCCAAAAAATTCAGCGACACGGAACATCAGACAATTTGCTTGCCGTCAGTTCGCAGCCAGAGTGACCTTTCCATCCACAAACGATTGACCCGCAAAACTCAGGTGTGTATGCTCCCACAAAGCCCAACATGCATCAGGACATTATGGGCTGGAGCATCTTCATCATACGCTGAGCAGGAAATACTGTAGACGATTCTGAGGAGGCTCTGTCGCTTGGAGGTCCTCCCAACTTCCAACCCCAGCCCCTCATCATCAGAAGCGCTAGTCTCCGGGAAACCTTAAACCCAAAGCTATTGAGTGAAGAAAGACGCAATGAGATGCCCCCTGAGCTGGGGCTCCGGCCTGAACAACCGGCGGTGGAGAAGAGATCGGCTCAACAATTTGGTAGGCAGGCCTCAGAACCTCGGGGTGAAGTGGGCTTGAACTTGAAGACACACAACAACCCGAGACAGCCAGTCTTCGTGCAAAGCTGCTACCAACAGCGACTCTCGGTGCGAGGTTTTGACAATCGTGGCTGCCTTTGCAAGCACTCCTACAGGGATGAAACTCACCTGCTCGCAACGAGGTGTCCTGTTCGGAAACACCTGGAATCCTATGTGGCTCGCACTTTGCTTTGCCGTTCAAATCGATGGTGCTTCGACTTCCATGGTGAAGTGAGACAGGGACAACCAAGCATCCTCCAGTCAAGCCCAGCGCGGGTAACAGCCCTTTAGAGGGATCTGCTGCGGAGCCATCGCGTTCCAGGTTGTCCACTGGCCTGTAGGCCCATACCTCATCCGCAGAAACCGAGTGTTCAGGGTTTAGGCACGCTCCTAGTCCCGATGGCATGGCAACACCGGCCTTGGAATCGTATCGCGGCTGGCACCCCCAAGACAGCCAAGCTGCTGATGGAAAGTTTGCTGTGCGTGCGGCAGCATGTGGTAGCCAGCAGTCATCTGGTGCCAGTCCTCCCGTCAACGATCATGCTAGCGCAAGGTCTGAGGCCGTGAGACCCGAAACCAGACTGTCCGCTGCAAGTCTGAGACACTGGCAGGCACGGGCACCTGGGGCAGTTGGTGCCAGGCGTACGGAGGGTTCGACGGGTTCGGAGTCGCCGGCAGAGTCGCTTGGTCCTCCTTCACAGTTCGGGCTTCGGACTCAGGGGTCTGCTCGTCGGGATTCGGGGTTCAGATGACCTCGGCCTACATCACAGTCTTACAGAGTGTTGCATGCGTTGCGGTCCTCAGCCCACGACCACTCTTCCCGTTGGCACTCAATTCCTTTGCAGGCTGCGTCTCTGGCTGCCAACGGCTAACGTCCGCATGACAGAACAAGCTCGAGCCTTGCCCAGCACTCATGGCCACTGACAGCAAGGCACGCACATCCTTCCACATTGCAGAAACTGCAGACGCAGGCTCTCCGATCAAAGCTTCGCAGGGAGGCAGACATGGTGTGCCGTAGTCGTGCTACATGCTGATGTCTGGGCTTCTCTTCTGATCGGATCTGAGGGTCCTTGGTCGCTGCATGATCAATGGGTTGCCGGTCTCGGCGATCCCTGCAGTGGCAATCTGCCCTTGCCTCTGTCGTCAGATTTTCAAAATAAGGATCCGGGGCGGAACTGCACCAGCCACGCGCAATCCCTGCCTCCAGGAGCAATTCGCAATGCTCGCGGACACCCCGAGAAGCCGCATGCATCAACGGCGTCTCCTCATCTAAACTACTTCGCTGCCATGATGCTAAGCTGCTACACAGCAATGCCAACGATGCCAGACCAGCAGAACTTGCAGAGGCAGGACCCACTGCGGGGAGTGGCCAAAAGGGACCGAACGGTGTGTTGTGCTGCAGGCTTCTAAGTAACTACGCCGTGCGACTCGCTGAAAGAACGGCCATGTCCTGGGTGATTGGCAAGGCATCCACCATGGCATCAGCACGCAGCAGCAGCTCCAGGCATTCTGTTCCTGAGGGTGATCTCGTTCACCACTACATAGGCGATACATTGTCCATGATTCCTGGAATGCAACCAGAATATATCCTGGGAAGTCCGATCAACCAACGATGTACGAGAGCTCACATCAGCCAGAACCGAGTACGACGGGGCGGAGCTGCATGTGCTGTTTCTCTGAAAGAGGAAACACAATCAACGGAAGCTCACAAAAGCTTCTTTCTAGAAACCGACCTGACATGAAACTTGCTTGCCACGCAACGTTCTGCTGTGCGGCCTTTGCCCTTTGCTGCCAGAAGCAGTGGTGTCGCACCACTGCTGTCGCACTCCTGTACGGGCGAGGCGGCCTAAAGAAATGCCCTCTGTGCACCGATCTGATGGCTGGCGAGACCTTCGACGACTTCACACAAAACCCCCCCCAAGCTGGTCCGACCAAACACTCTGACACTCGCGGCTTCACTGCCTCCACGGCTGCACCCTCGCTCAGCCAAGCGCGGACCATACTGGGCACTGCCAATTCTGCAGCACCTTGCTAGGTAAAGCCACAACCAAGCTGCTTCGAGTGTGGCTGGAGCTTGGTTCGCTTGTGCTTGCATTACTTCAACAATGCGTTGCCAAGATGCGATGAAGCGAATGTCGACCACCCGCCTTCAGCAGAAGCTCGACGCATTCCTGCAGCATGAAAGGCAACCACGAAGGAAAGACGTATCGGGCAAGTAACCCGAGACGAGCTCCTGCTGGCTTCGGCTTACTGCCACATCCAAGGGAGTTCCACCGTGCCTTGGCAGCTCACGCTCAGGCACTCGAACCAGACAGGGAACCACGCGGAACTCAGAAATCGCCTGATGCGCGGTGAGGGATGCACCAGCATTACTCTTGCCCACGAAACTTCAGAGGGGAACCGCCTGGCTTGCACATGCTAGGCCTGCTAGGCCTATAGACCAGTTGTACCTCTTACAGAACCCTACTGCCCACTCGTGACCTCAGCGCTGCCTTTGCTCAGAAGCCGGGAGGCTTCACGGGTCTCGCGTTCAAGCTCGCCCAGGGCTCTTTTCTCAGGCACCCAGAGGTCTCGAAGAGGAGCAGCTGCAAGGCCTCGACGTTCCCTGCATGAAACACAGTTCAGGGTTGTGTTTCGAGCTTAGCAGCTGGCGTTCAGGGCATAGTGTTTCGGGTTGGCAACAAAGGATACGTGCACGTGACCCACACGGTGTTCTCTCCTCGAGCTGCCGAGTCGTGCAGCAGCTGGTCCTTATCTCCCGGCAATCCATGTATCTTCCCGAGCTGTGCTATGCCGTGCTGACAGCACGGTGCATCAATTGCATTCATGTCTCCGCACCGGCGCAGGTTAGGACAGCGCCGCTCTTTCGCAACAGCTCCTCAGGCAAGGGGTGCACTGCCCAGCCGAACTCTTGAAATCCGTGACAACCCCAAGGCCGTAAACCCCTCGACTCTGAAACACCAGACCCCTAAGAAGCCATGAAAGCCTCTTGAAAACCCCCCAGCAAGCCCAGCGTCAGCAGCACCACGGCAGCCTGGTGCCAGGGGTAAGGTGTGAGCAGAGAGATGAGCTGGCTCTTGCACACATCTATACGTCTGTACATATAACTCACATAACAGTACGTCCACATACGTACGTACCGATGTGAGTAGCACTGGGGGAGGTTGTGCATTGTTTGTTCTTTCTATGTACTGACCCCTTGTGTATGAGCCTATTTTGTCCGAGCTACTTACGAAGACCCCAAATCCGAAGCGCCACCCTCTTTCCCAAGCCCTAAACCGAATATCGGCGATAAGATACTGACAGGAAGGTCACATCTGTGTTAAGCGAAGCCGAAGCCCCAAAACCCTGAACCCCTGTACGGATTAGGGTTGTTCGATGGTTTCACGCTTTAGGGTTTAGGGCCCAACAAAACGCCAAAACCTGGCCCGAGCCTTTCTTCACGGCGATGGTCAATGGCTTTCCCTCGGGAGTCGCTGTGTTGACGGCCTCTGGCAGCAAGTCTTCAGCTATATCAGGGACTTCCTCCGACAAGGAAAAAGCAAAGGAGCTGTCCAGATTCTTCAGTTGGAGGAAGTTGCGAAGATGCAATGAGCTATAGTTTGTGTACGCGCGTCTCTCTTTTTCACTGGGTATTTTGTCGTTTCTGCATCTCCACTGCCGACTCTCGCCTCTGGCCGCGCACGGATGGCCGCCCAAAGACGGTCCAGGCTGAGAAGCCTCCCGTCCTCCTTTGGCGGTCAAAGGAGCGTTGCTGTAGCGCTTCAGGGTCTTAGCGTTTCGGGTTTTGGGCAAAGGATCTTGCATTTGAGCTTTAGGGCTTCGGGTCAGGCTTGAGGGTCGTGCGCTCAGTCAGGGTTTAGGGTAGGTACGATGGCAGAAGGGAGTTTCAGAAAAGAAGCGGCCAGTGGCCTTAATATTGACTCTGAAATCATCCCTCAACTGTTGAGATTCCCAAATCATCCAAGGAACAGGATGCATGCGCAGCTGCGCCATCAGGTGACCTCAAGCTGGAACTTAATAGGGTTTCTGGTTAGGGTTGGGGACTTAAAGGTTGCAAAGCTTTGGAGTTTGGAATGTTGGGGGTTTCACAGGGTTCTGGGGTTTGTGGCGCTTGAATATCCTCTCATACCGAGTCGTATGGACCTTTAGAGCTGTTCCTTTGTAAGGGTGAAAAACGGCCCAGTACTGCTTCCACGCCGCATCGCCCAAGGTCGGGCCACCACTCCTGAAAATGCAGAGAGCTTTCCGGGGATTTGAACTACTTGAAAAAAGGTGAGAAAACTCAACTTTGGCAGCCGATAGAAGTTGCGCTAAGCTCCTCCACCCTCAGCCCCGGCCCAAAATGCTACAGATCAATTATCATTGCTGAACCCCAGATATCATTAGCCATGCACGTGTGTGTGTGTGTATGTATGTGTCTATATACAAACATTTAAACTGAACATGATCGGCTGTTTTCGATTAACCTCTGCTTTGCTCTGCTCTATTCTAGAAGTGAGTTTTCAATTGCAGCAAAGTATAAAATTAGTATACTGTATAACAAATGGTTAAATATGCTTTTATTCTACCATATACTATATACAATCTTTCCCCTAGCATATAAACACAGTCTGTTTCGTCCGTACTGTATCGTAGCATGGCATAATCTACTGTGGTAGAGCAGACTAGAGCAGAGTGTAGTGTAGTATAGTATACCATGGTGTAGTGTATGTGCATGCTGGATTGTACTGCAACTTTTCTTCTAATCCATTAACGATAGTGTTCAGGTATATGATACAGAATATGATAGATCTTCGGTAGTATGTACAAACATATATATATATATATGTATGTATATTTACAAGCATAAACCAATGCATTACTGCCACTATAACCTTCTAGTAAATACTATACGTGGTGTGCTCTGATTTATGAAGCATACCTGTAACGATCTATATACATACAGTGACCTTCATCTGTATATGGTCAGGTGCCTGGCGTTCCCGGCCCCCCCAAGCAGAACATAAACCGTCAACCTTAACAAAACTACACACCAAACCCTCCCTAAGCTCTTGTCGACTTCAAGCTTTACCTGTTAACGCTAAACCCTAAACCCAAACCTTAAAAGCTTAAGTTAAACCCAAAACTTCACAACCACTCCACCGGGGAAAGAGGGACGCCGCACCCTACCCCACAGAAAAAAGGAGGGAATCCTGGACCATAGGCCATGGAGGTGGGGGAGGGGGCAGCGGAGCAAGTGACAATGCATAGTTATATTCCTACTGAATGTTGCTTCACTTACACATAATATTTTTATTTACACATATGCTACTATGTGCACATTTGCATTATTTTGTAACGTTATCTAGTAAGTAGTATTCTTTCTGATTTTGTTTTTACCGCGTCATTGATCTGGTTGTGTATGAATCAAGAAGGTTGCATAAGCTGCATACGGACATATACGACTATATGGGAGGACCAAAATATCTATAGAGTCGGTAGATTATGGTGTCACTAAATCTGGTATCTTTTTGTCTAGTTCTTTTGTAACGGATAAGTTTCTATATATAAGTATATGTTTATGCATATGCATATAGTAAATACATAAAGTATCTGTATCTGTGTATATGTATACTCTAATTATGTGTTATATACATAGAAATATATATATATATATATATATGTATACATATATATATATATACACATACATACATACATATATATATATATATATATATATATATATATATATAGGTACTCTATTCGCTCCTCGCCAGGAGGATCCGCGGGCCCCGCGCCGCACGCGAGCAGCTTGGCCTTGAAGCAGCCTCGGCAAACCCCCACCGGCTTTAAGGTTGATCAGCGTCAAGGGCTTTAACAAAGGGTGTTCTAGGATTTCAAAATGTTGAAAGCGGCTTCGGAGCATGGTTGTGGTCGGATCTCGGGATCGAGTCATAGTTAACCCAGTGGAATCCCATTGTTAAAGGGCCTCTTTTCTGTCTGCCAAGGTTCTGGGGCTTGAGGGATTGAGACTTGCTGGGCTTTGTCCTTGAGCACCGCCGTTCTAGCGTTCGCTTCGGGCAAGACACATGCTGGTCCGGCAAACTGCCAGACCCGCAGAAGGCATTGCGCAGGGCTCCTGAGCTGGGGTGAATCACTTCGTGCATTCTGCGTGAAGAACAACGCTTTCAAGACATTTCCAGAACAGCCCAAGGCACAGAAAGACTGCTTGTTGCAAGTCGCGCCAGGATGCCATTTCGCCGATGGTGCTGGCTCTTCACCAATTGTCGGCCACCGCATCCATCCGCTCACTCTTGCTTTTACTTCTCTTATCATCACAACCATAGCGCTCCAGCCTACTGGTCCATGACGACATGTCGAGAAGAGCAGTTCGGTACGGAGGAAGCTTTGCTCTTATAGCTGTTGATCATCTACATCTGAACACCTGAAGCCCTAAAGCTCTTGCGGGGACCGGCTTCACTTACGCATGTGAAAGCAGCAGTGCTTCAGCCCAATGAAGCTTTCAAGATGTCGGGCTCCAGCAGACTCGCGAACGAGCGACATTCGGCCGAGACGGCTTCTGCACGCACAGCACCCAGCACAGGCCCCGGCTGGCGATCGGACCCGGGTTATCACCGGTGATCGACTTGGCGATGAGGATGCTTTCTCTTTCCGGGTGGAATGCTTCCATCTGGCAGGAAACTCAGACTTTGTCGCTCGGACCAACCCGAAGTCCTGGCAGCCTGGGCCTAAACCCGGGCGCCTGTGGAAGGCCTCCAGCGCCAAGATCCGGCCTCGCCTCTCCTTGTCGCGATTTAAAGACAGCTCAAACGCTGCTTCGTGCTGCCCCGGTTCGCACCCGCTTTCCTCGATGGCAGACACCACGGAGACCACCCGCCCCGGCGCTCTCGGCACTCCTTGTTGGTGTGCTGGCATCCAGAATTTCTCAGCTGCTCAGCTACCGGATTTCCCGAGGCGGTAGCTCAGGCGATCTGCCAAACGCTCCGCCGCAAGCGCGGCGGCGGATCGACTCCACGTCATGAAAGTCGCGAAGAGAAGCAGACGCATCTTCAACGTCCAGAACTTGCCAGCCTTGGCCAAGATGCTCCGTTTTTGCATCAGAGGTTCTATTCCCTATACAGTGTCAGCAGTTACTGGGGCTCCTAAACTATCTTCTCAAGGCACGTGCAGTCAACGTACCACAAGGAACAGGAGCGCTCGATGTCCTCCGTTGATTTTTAAAAAAGAAGTGGAAGCAGCGCAGCAGATCGCCATTGTGGCCTAAATCTGGCCCCCTACAGCAACACTTGCGGAAATCTGTACTCAACACCAGCAACCGACGTCCCCAAACGCAACCAAACTGGGCACCGCAATGCCCAGACTCTTCCTATTCCCCTAAACCCTAGCCGTCCCGGCTTGGTCTGGAGCCCCGGGCCAGGCGAGAGCCGCAGTTGGAGCCCCGGTCTGCGCGGCGCCGGAGCTCCGAGCCTCGGTTCAAGACAATGAGCCTGTGTGTGTGTAGCTGAATGTAGATACTACATGTTCGTGTATGTACATACACATCTACATATATATATATATATATATATATATGTATCCCTAAACCCTAAACTCCCAAAAAAATAGTATCCAAAAACAATGACGAAACTCCGAAACCCTGGAGGACGTATCCTCAAAACGCCCAAACCCGAAAATCCTAACCCTGCAACCCTGAACCTGAACCCTGAAATGCTAACTTTCATCTCCCAAACCTCAAAACCGTGAGCCCTAAAACCCAAAAAAAAAGCATCGGGGCCTTGGATTTTTCTTGGGGACCCCGACTCCAGCTGCGGCGCTGCTTCTCCAGTTGGCCACCTCGGGCTTCCTGCCGAAGCATCGGGGCTTTAGGGCTTTAGGGTGTAGGGCTTTAGGGTGTAGGGCTTGGGGTTTAGGGTTTTGGGGTTTGGGGCTGTTCAGGCTTGGGGGGATTTGGACCTTCAGGGTTCAGGCGTTGTGGTCAAGGGTTTCGGTCTCAGGACTTTGGGTTCAGGGCTCCGGGCTTACTGAGGCTTACTGTTCAGGGTCCGAGGTTGCGCAGCCCGTCATGACATCATGATGCTCCAAGACGTGCAGCAAGTTTTCGCTCTCGTGATGCGAAATAAGCTCCCGCCATTCTGTTTTGTCCCCTTCGTGGGCACGTCACGCTCCAAAGTTAACAGGGCTCACCTAGCGGCTTTATGGTGGATCACTGCAGTTCACACAGACAAACAGGGTCATGGAAGAGCAACGACAATATTGTCGCAGGCATGAAGGCCTCAATATTTATTATTTATCTTATACCTCCAAGCCAAATTGTCGTATTGGGACAGAAGTGCGGAGTTGGAAGCTCACAGTCAGCAGCATTTTCAACCATGTTGCGACCCCGCTTTGGGTGAAACGTAGCCGGCCCAGGTCCCGGCATCCGCAAACACGGACACCGGCGACACCGGTCCTCAGGTCCTCCTCACGCCACAACTACCGACTCTCATCCAATCGTCTCAGCCTTTGACACCTGGGAAGCAATGCCTCAGATGTCAGAGTCCAGTCTTCGGCAGAATCCAGGAGGGTGCTACAGACAGCGCTCCGAGCGGACGAGCTTTCACATGCTGGGCATGGAAGAACTCCAGCTGCAGCCGCCTGTTGCGCAAACTCAGCTTGGTCCCTTTGCTGCAGCCGCCAAGATGCCCGTGGTAGGTCTTCTCCTGAAGGGTTTTGTTCACCGAGTCCCAGATGTCGTAGCCACACTTGAAATTGGGCACATCATCTACGACCTGACCCGGCAAGTCTTCACAGCTAAGTCAGCAAACGTTGAGTTCTGGCTTGTCGCCGTGCCTGTAAGTGTCCGAAGACACAACCCTGGATCAGCAGGCCCATGATGTTAGCGGCGATCCTCAGCTCGTACATGACACTTGGAAGGTTGCTGGGCTGTGAGAAGAAACACTGTAGATGGCCACTCTGGGTGCTTGGGGGCTGAAAAGTTCAAACCACTGCTGAAAAGGGTCATGCCGAAGGTGTCAGCCACCGATGCCGCAGACAATGCAAGCTCCACGAATGACGCAGGCTGTTCCTGCACGGCACGAAACTCTGCCGATCCACATGACAAGCAGGAACACAGCAGCTGCGCTGACGCAACCCGGCCTGAGCAATGAGAGTGAAGGCACCAACATAGACACCACCTCCCAAGCACCCAACGAAGAAGGCCTGTCTGGCGGACGAGCTTGGAACAGGCCTTTGGCTTCGGACCCGTGAAGTCTGAAGCATCCCAGACTCCAAGGAAGGCTCCCTCCCACCCACTGGCCGGGGCCAACAGCCACCAGTCGCCAAAGGGTTGCCTGACATAAGAGCGAAGCTGCACAGAAACAGGCTGCCCCTTGCGTCCAGGTTCAATTCACGGGGAGCCGTGGCGTCGGATCATAAGCTTTTGCAAGCCATCGGGGCATACCAACGCAGATTTGCACAGCATTTCAACACGGGACTGGAGTTAGATTTGCACAGCCGAGTCGGCGACCACGCGGCTGCAGCAAAGAAGAGGGCCATCACAACCTGCTCACAGCAAGTGCAAGCATGTCGCAACAAAATGTATAACCGCTCACAGACGAGACGAAATCGGAGACGTCGCGCCTGGAGAAATCCGCCGCACCACAGCACTTTACGGTTGCGGCAGATCAGGATAAAGGCCGACCTGCTCAGAACCGCTACCAAATCCTCCGAGCAGCAGGCCGAAGTCCTCCACCCCGCAACCCGCAAACATGTATCTATGGAGTGTGGATACTTGCGCGAAATAAGTCAACGAGTAAGTATGTATATATTTATACTTAAAAACAAAACTATCTATACTAGGGCAGAAGACATGACTGTGTCTCTACGTCGCGGGCAACCGTGAGTAACCTTGACTCTGCCGAAGCGCTTGATATCAGGCTGGCAGTGCCCGAGATGAGGGTGGACTATCAGGAAAAGCCGTGTGCTGCCACGCTTGCCAATCCCGACAGGTGCTTGTGAACTGAGTCATCATATATATGTATATATATATATATATACATATATATATACATATATATACATATATATATACATATAGATATAGATATGTACATAGCTTAACATGTCTCGGTACTTATTTACGATTTAGGAACTATCCTCAGAACCAGCACTACGAACAAATCCGAGCTGCACCTGTGCCCCAATTCTTCCCTAGCACTTCTCGGGCTTTTCAAAATCCGCCCAAAGAGAAAGCACGGGATTCGGGGACTGGTTGCCACAGCTATGGAAAAAAGTCCTGCAGAGCCTGGAGATGAAGACACCGATCTGGTACATGAAATTGGACCACCTGCAACGCAAGGCACCGCCAGCAACAGCCTGACCCGTGGGCCAGAAGCTGCCGAGGCACTTGTAGAAATGGTGCCGAGATGTGGGATCTGTCACCGGGAATCCCATGGCAGCCCAAAATCCGGATTGGATCCTTGGATTTCGGGTGTGGGCATGACATAGACATTGTCATAGTCCTCACCGGCAGCATACTCCCGCCAAAGGCACGTGTATTCAGCTGCATAAACGAAGAAGAGCGGCACCGTGTACCTTAGGCTGCCACTCAATTCAAGGAACCTGCACAACATCAAAAAGACGAACAGAGGCCCCTTGGCCCACACTTTTCTCTAAAACCGAACAGCCTTGTGATAGTCTGCAACTGGCTGCGGCCACAGGGAAAAGATGTAGCCGAACCTCTCCTGTGCATGTTCAACGCTGCGGTACACTTCAGGGGAGCTGGATGCGGGGTGGGGACAAGAGGTTGGTGCGCATGAGCAACAAAGCCATCCTGAGGCAGCCATGCCCGGACCTCTCGTTGAAGATGAACTCCAACAAGTTTCAGGTCTCGCAAACCTCGACCTTCCGTTGCAAAACGCTCCAGCCTGGAAAGAGAGCTTTGCGGTCGCCAGCTCGGAGGCGTGGTGCTCCACTACGGACTGGGCCGTGTGATTTGGTTGTTGGGGGGGGTACAACCTGTTGATACACCTAGACGTTCCCCAGAAACTTGTTCGTTTCAGTGGAGCTCTATTGCTCTGGATGACCCCACACGCACGTACACCGCTCGGAAACCCTCTACTGCCTCTACTATCCTCTACTGAGTAAAACGTCTTGTGTTGACAGAACCTATCGACCGAAAAGTCGTTCGGCATGTCCTAAGTCCCTGGTGCATGAGGGTCTATGTCCTTTGAGGAGCAAGCCACTGACTCTTCGCTT